TCCAGGTTAAACGCTTTTAATAATTTATTACCCTTTAGAATAAACAGGGTAAATATAACACATATCAATAAATTAAGTATTTATTACCCTTTTCTTTTTCACAAAAGGTGTGGTTAACCACACTTTGTTTAAAATGAGAAATAGTGGCGAGTTGAAATTTATGAAGTTCTTAAACGTATTAAAAAAATTCGTTAAATAATTAATTGCTTTTATGATTTCCTGTTCATTAACAACAGCTAAAATAAAACATAAATTGCAATTACCATTTCATTTCTTTTTTTTTATTTAATATTTTAAAAGAAATAGTTATTATGCTCAAAGCCAATTTATAAAAACTTTACTTAGGAATTTCAGTAAATCAATAATTTATTCAAAAAACTTTATTTTGCTTATACAGGAAATAATTGATCTGTTGGCATATAAAATGTTTATATTTTAATGGAAGCAAAGCAAAAAAGTGCGGTGGTTTTGCCAACTTTTTCAAAGTTAAACTAAAGCTCCGTCCGAGTGTTTACGTAAACTGAAAAACGGATTTTGGCTCCGCTGCAAAAACTGGTTGGCAGCGGTTGGTTCGTCTTGCGTTTATTGCATACAACAATTGATTTTCGCCAGACGGTGGAAAGCGGGACGGCGAAAATGCAAATGAAAATGGCAAAGTGCTCAGCGAAGGAGCGGGATGGATGTGGATGTCAGTGGGGGGACGGGGGCGGTCGGAGTGAGCAATATATGTAGTTTCAAACAAACTTCAAATTGGCGAACACAAAAGCAGCTCTCAGACACACACTGGCACACATTTTACATAGTCAGACAAGTGGGTGGGGGGAGAGTGGGTGGTGGAGTGGGTGGGTAGGTGGGCGCCTCTGGGGGAGGCGCCACCTGCTGACTGTCGCCCAACTGCAACACAAATGACAAACGTGCTTTTGATAGACTTGTTGACGACAAGCTCCTGGCACTTGGCAGCTGTCAGCAACAGCCCAGAAATATGCTGACGTTCTCACACGCATGCACCGCAAAGAACCAGGGGTAAAAGTATAGTTTCAAGAGAACTATAGTTGGTATCCAAGCCAACCAGTTTCATCCAAAATATCAAATCATCTAAATAATTGCATAATTTCGTGACATATAAATCAATTCGTTTGGGTCGTTTAAATGTAAAGATTTCAGTCTCCGATTTTTACTAATCAGCCAGGGCACAGAGAAAGTATCCAAGAACATTGTTCTTGAATTGAGAACATTGTTCTTGAATTGACAACATTTTTCATGAATTAAGAACATTGTTCTTGAATTAAGAACATGAATACCGCAAATTCAACTTGATTCGAGCAAAATAAAAACATTTTCAACTTAAAAATGTCGTTATATTTTTAAGACATTTCAACTCAGATAAAACGTCAGAATTTTCTCTATGTAGTCAATATATGTGTGCACACTGTTTGTGTGGCAGCACAGACCAAGCAGAGCTATTCCCCTATGCCCGCCTAATGGGAAGCTGCTAACCGCAGTTTTTATTCATTATGTAATTAATAATGAAATAGACTTTAATTAGTATATTATTTAAAATAAATGCAAAGTCACTTAAATTATAAAAATCATTCTTCTAAATTTCAATATTATAATGACATACATTTTACAACTGATATAAGTAAGTCAATTTTAAAATCTATTTACGTTAAAAATTTTTACCACTTGATTTTTATTTAAATATAACCAACATTCCATTACATTTCTCCCCGTGTAACCACGGTTATTTTTGGTGTCTGGTCTTGTTTGCTGGCTGTGAGTGCGGCTTTGAAAAATGGTGGGGGGAACTGCGAATTTTGTAAGTACTTTTATGGTCGAACCCATTAATAAATAATGCCGAAAATCAATAAGGATGACTCCTTGCAATGGCCATTTTTACGGCCGCCACCACACACATTTAATACTGCATGTTAAATGTATTTTGTGGTCCAATCTTGGTAATTGCAATTACAATCCACTTTGGCCAGCCGGGCTTATGGTAATCAATTTGTTGTGTTTATTATTCATGGTTGCTGCAGCAACAGTAACAATGAAATCGCTAAAAATCACAAGAAACTAAGCCCCCATATTGCACTCACTTTTGCTTTCGGTTTGTTTTGCTGCCCGCCTCTTTAGGCCAGCTTTTTGTTTTCGCTTCTCTTTCGACTTGGTTTACGCGCGCGGGACAGAACGAGATGACGACGGAAGTTTCGTAAACGTGTTTTTGTTATGGCCCAAACCACGGATGGCGCGAGTCTGGCTTACCGACCACGTCCGATTCGCAGCAGCAGCAGAAATGTACTGGCTTTGTTTTGGCCAACTCGCCAAGCGGAGCCGAAGTGGCCAACAAAACCGAAGTGGAAAGCGAAGCCGACAAGTTGTATGTTGCTTTACAAGATATTTTTCAGATAAAGGTGGCTGTTTTAAATTCTCAATTTTAAAAGCATAAAACCTGTTTTTTTTTCAATTGTCACAATAAATCTTCTTTTTTTTTAATGTTGCCCTGCCAAACCGGAAGTTAATTTGAATTTTTGAATTTCGATGGATTTAAATCCCGGTACGTTACAATCAGTGTTGGTAAGCGTTATCGATGAGCGATTGCTTAGCCCAACTGGTTCCGCGGTCGATAGTCCACAAGTCTATCGCTCCGCGCGAACCAGTTCACTTAGGAAAACAACAAACTCATCTCCCACACAACAAGAAAAAAACTGAAAATTCCAATTTAAAAGTTTGTTAGTCCCATTTTTGATATAAAAACTAATCCAAATTATGCCTGTGTAATGCTAGAAAACATTTCGTTGTGTGTGATCAAGATCGAAACGGATTTGGAGCCCAGTGCAGGTAAAATCCGAAAGTGGGACTGCAGCAGACAAAGAAAGTGGATTTCACCATTATTTATTTATACATATTTAAATAGATTCCGAGGGAGCCGTGTCCGCCGAACACCCCACCAATCCCGAGTGCTCAAGGAAAGGGAACGCGATCGCGGACTTCGCCAGTCCCGCGACATCACCATCGAAACCTACACCAACCAGCGTTGGACGCGGGAGTTGAGTGCTCCCAAGGATCAGGAGACGGAGGGAAGCAGGATGAACTGGGCGGCGGCCCTGCAGCACGTCAACAGCCCACGGCGGGCAGTTCCCGGGAGACCACCCCCCGCAGCGGCGATGAAACCCAGGCGGGAGGACCACAGGCCACTCGTCCAAGTTCCCCCAGGAGATCGGCTACTTCTCGGCAATCCCATCGTCGAGGTGACCAAGGGTCTCATCCATCTGTACAAGAAGAAGTGGGTTTCGTTGTGAGCCTTTAATATTATCATTACCATGACTAATTTCCCTAATCCTTAGCGAGCGCAAGGCCATTAAGGAGGCTCCATCCAACCAGCTCTGCCTGCTGGCTGTGCCAGCCACTCTAAACTGCCATGATCTGCTGAACTTTATCGCTCCCTGCCATGCGGAGATCAAGCACGTCCAGATTGTCCGAGATGGCAGTCCCAATCAGTTTATGGTGCTGCTGGAGTAAGTTAAATTCTACAAAAATTGGCTTACTATAGCATCCTACCTCTTTCAGATTCCGCTCGAATGAATCAGCTTTGGAGTTCTACAAGTCCTACAATGGCATTGCTACAACTCCCTGGAACCGGACTCGTTGTGCCACGCTGTGTGGGTCTCGGCTGTTGAAAGGAGCGAACACGGAGGCCCACCAATGGGACACACGAGCTGCCCACCTGTCCAGTGTGCCTGGAGCGCATGGATGAGAGCGTAGATGGAGTGCTGACCATCTTGTGCAATCATGCCTTTCACGCTAGCTGCTTGATGAAGTGGGGCGACTCTACCTGCCCGGTGTGCCGCCATGTGCAACGCCCGAGCTGGTTGAAGATTCCGTTTGCATGGAGTGCGAGGGAACCGACTCGCTGTGGATTGCCTGATTGCGGCATGTAGGCTGCGGACGTTACCAGGGAGGCCATGCTGCTGCCCATTACAGGGCCACCAACCACACCTTTGCCATGCAGTTGGGCACATCAAGTGTATGGGACTACGCCGGCGACAACTTTGTACACCGCTTGTTTCAGAACAAATCCGACGGCAAGCTGGTGGCCTCTCAAACCGAGAAGGACGAACGCGAAGAGAAGATCGACTCCATGCAAATGGAGTTCACTTATTGCTAACCTCTCAGCTAGACACACAGCGCAAGTACTACGAGGAGCGAATGGAGAGACTGGAGCAGGAGTGGCAGAACTTTAAGGCGAACGCCAGCGAGGCCAAGACGGAGGTCTCCGAACTGCAGCAGCTTCAGCAGACCATGCAGAAGGAGAAGGTTAACCTGGAACGCAAACTGGCCCAACACACAGCCAAGTAAGTAAACTACGAGTCAATAAAAAGAAGTAAGGGAATATAAAACCATTTCTCTTTCAGGCTAAAGGAGGTGCAGAAGCAACTGAACGAGGAGCGTGAGCTGTCCAAGGCCCTGCAAACCAACCAGAGCTCCTGGCACGGCAAATATAAGATCTTGGAACAGCAGTACAACGAGTTCAAGCACAATCACGACGCCGAGGTCACCGACCTAAAGGAACAGCTGCGCGATGTAATGTTCTTTCTCGACAATCAGCAGAAGATGGCCAACTCCGAGCTGGCAGGCGCCTCCATCACTGGTATTGGCGAAAAGGAGCCTGATCCGAATACCAGACGCGGTAATCGTCGCAAGAAGTAAATCCTATCTACCATATACCATTCACACAATGGTATTTTGATTCGAGCTGCATTGTTTACCCGATCTTAAAAGGCTATGCACACCGAATATATAAGATTAATAACAGCTCTATATGTGATTTCCTTTGTGAAGCAAAAACCCAAGGATATAATATACCTAGTGTACGTTTACTATTACTCTTAAGCCAATTGAAAATCATATTGTCTAAAATGTATTGCGTTTTTATTTCGAAATAATTAAAAGTTTGTGAAGAAATCCATGGTTTTATGGTTAATTTGGCATATTACTTGGTTTAGACAATTTTAAGATGAATGCAATCGTTTGTCAAGTGAACTAAAAGAGACCTTTGTGGCACTATTCGGGTGGAGGTGGAGGACAGGTATCCTCGCAGTGGAATGTGGGGTCCGAAAGCTCCTGCAGTTTGACCACCGGATCTGCCTGGAAGAGACCGACCTTCTCCTTCATTTCTTGTTCGTTGCGATCCAGGTTCATCAGATAGGCGGCAATGAAGGCACGCGGGTCCTGTGGCGAATGAAGGTGCAGCTGGGCGAAGGCCCGACGAAGGACATCGCCCATCTGCTCCTTGATCTCGCCGGCCATCGCATCCACAGACTCCAAGTTCTTTCCCTTCGGAAGCCAGTCATATCCCTTAAACAGCAGCACTCACAGTAGGCTTCGGATCCGATTCCTTGAGCAGCTTGAAGAACGGCAAAAGCTCCGACTCGCAACTCTTCAGCTTGCCACCTCGCGAACGAAGCGCTTGTGGAGCTCACATATATCCTTCTCACAGCCCCGGATCACCTCAGTATCCTGGGAAAGGGTCGCTGTGCGCTTGATGTAGTCAACCGTGTTCTCATGGAAGGACTTGAACTTGCACTTCTCCTCGTTGTAGGCATACAGGCACTGACGGGCATAGACGATGATGTTGTCCCGCCGCTTCCGTATCTCTTCACTTCGCCGGCTGAAATGGGTCTTCACCTCGTCCAGACTGCTGATCCGCTGGGCGAACTTGGTCATGTCCTCGATGCTCTCGCACACCACCTTGCCCCGCTTCTCGTGACCGCACTTCTGGTTCGCCTTGTTGATCTTGTCCAGCTCCGCCTGCAGCTCCAGTTGGAGATTGCGCAGCTCCGTGTTCAAGCGCTTCACATCGTTGTCGTTGCAGATCAGCGCCTGCAACATTTCGTGCAGGCAGTTTTTGTGGGGATTGGGCAGCTCATCGGGGCAGCCGGACAACATGTTTGTATATTTGTTGGAATCTTAACTTTTGTTCTTCTCATTCCTTTGCTGAAGTTAGTATCAGCTTACTGAGATCCTAAAAGATCCTAGAAATAGAAATGTATTTCATTTTGAAGATGATTATCTCAAATTAATATAATTTAAAGTTTTAGAAAGTGGTTAGTTTACAAACTTTTCAATAGTAACCAAAAAAGGTTGTTTGTAAGACTTAGCAGCAATTATAAGGCAATATATCTGGTCGTAAAGAATTGAACTGTTTAAATAATTACCATTAAATAATTGTGATAAGATCTTAAGTTCAGAATATCGATTTGGTAATCCATTTAACGTAGAATCTGTACACTCAGGTAAAAACACCGTGCTAAAAGCAAGTACAAACAGCCTTGATTTAAGAAAAATTGCATGCTTGACATTTAGGAACGTTCGTGCTCAAAAAATTCTTATATTTTTATGTCTACCAACTCTAATAATTCCCAACTGTTTATTCTAAAAGTACTCGGTATATAAGGCATATAAATTAGACAGTCTTAATGCCCGTGAGCGGCAAGTCGTAAGTAAACTTAAAATATTAATATTATTTATATATATCTCGTTTGTTTCGTTTCAGTTTCCAGTTTATTTCTCTGTTTAGCATAAAATAAAAACTCATTTTAATTTCATAATAATTATATATTGATTTAAGAACTATTCGTCCTTAAATCATGCCTTACTTTATTATTAAATCGTTCTTGTTTTTAGTCCAAATATGACTTAACTTAAGAATTATTCATACTTGATTGAAGACCGAAAGGTTCTTAAATCTAGTATTTTCGGTCTTGAAAATTCGTGCTCGAAAGTAGTATTTTGTTCTCGCGATCTGTATTTTCCATGCTTGGCAAAGTTTTAAAACCAAAAATACTAGGTTTAAGCACGAAATACTTGACTTTTTTACTGAGTGTAGAAATTAGAGGATTTCAAGTGAATTAAAATATATTTCTCAGTTTAAGTCATTGTAAACCATTCCTGCCTTTAATAACATAAGAGTTCTGATAATCACAAAAAAATAACACTTATCATCTTCATACACTCCACTGCCCAATTCAAAATAGAAGTTATCAGTTAGAAGAATTACAAAAATTCTTCAAAAAAAAAGCAATCTTATACAAACCGGTTTGACCAGTAGCCAAATCTTCACTTGAATTGCGTACCCACAGCAACAACGATCAAAGAACGTAAATAAAAATTAAATTTATTTGGCAGCGAACAAAGACAGCAAAAAATAAATAAAATTTCTTAATGGTCTCCCCAAAAACCCCGCTTTCCTTAGACGTTTCGCCTTTTGTTCGTCTACAATTGGCACACGATCAATCATTATGTCTCTTCTAACACAATTTTATCTTGCCAAAAAGTCTGCTATTATGCTTTGATTGATACCCTGTGGCATTGTATTTATAAACTGTAGTCTATTATAATTATATCGTTTGTTTCCACATATTTTCTAGGGTATTAGCATAGTGGGATACCGAAAGTGATCTCCAAACTCAACTCCCACTAATGGACGCAGATGGAGCTTTCGAAAATTGAGTTTTGGCACAAGTCAACCTGTTTGCAGATAATGAGAATGGGGAAAGGTTTAGGGAAATCGATCTTTGACCATCTTGTACCTGTAATTAAGTAACTTAATTAATTTCACGCAAAACAAAGCTCATTTTAAGCAAAACAAAAAAGTGACTTGGAGTTTGCAAAATTTTTATTCGAGCGTCTGAATAATTTTTGCATAATTTTCGCTTTGTATACATTTTAAAGAATTTGATGGATATTATTTTGCTTATCTTGTGATAGGGTATAATTTGATAAATTTTCTGCGATGAGTTTGGAATTTTTGGCGGGTTAGTTCATTTTGTTTCGAGTTGATGTATATGGCTGGCGCATTTAAACTTAAAATTATTTCGAAAACAGTTTTATCCGCCATCATACTATTATTTAAATGTTGTGCAAAACGTAACCATAACATGTTATAAATAAATTGAGAAATATATATTTTAAATGGTAGATACCTAAAATGATAACTTTGCCTTAGGCATCTTCTATAAATCAAAAGAGATTTGAACCTTTAAAGTTTATACAGCTGCTTGATCAATTTTTCTATTTGCCATTCAGAACGAATGCAAATTATAATAATTAAAATTATTGAATGTGACTAATGAGCAAATATTGATTTGGAATCTGGCCCGGAGCAATACAAATGGGCGGATACAAAGCCGGAGTATGTAAAATAGATAAACAAATAACCCAAGGACCACAGATTCAAAGGCTGATCAAAAGGATGTGCTAGGATGGAAGTAAGGATCTTAGGGTGGTTTCCTGTCCCTAAGCAATCCATTTGCATAGAAAACTGACCCAGTTTCTTAAGGATGCTGACGCTTTAGAGCAGGCAGGACATAGAGATCCTGCGCATTACCAAAAAATTTAGAAAAAAATCAAATTTAAATAATTTACGTATTTTTCAATTCGAAAGAACAACGTTTTTTTTCCTTTCTAGTTCTATTTTTTGCGGAGGATAAATGAAAAATGATGTTTGACCCTGTCCTGCGACACACCCTTTTCCTTGATCACGTATGCAAATGCAGAGCGATGTCCCGGGACAGGATCCAAAGGGATTCAACCCTTTGAGGACAACTGGCGGCGTCCGATCCGCGAACGTGTTGTGCATAAATTAAGGCATCCTTTCGTCCTTTTGTCCTCGCACCCTTGGTGGTTCGGCAAGGAAACGCTTCCGCATGGAAATGAGGCAAAAAAATCCGGATTTTTTTTACTTCTTGTCTTCTGCCGTCTGCGCCTGCGTCTTTGTGCGATCGTCCTTTTTATCCTTGATCGTCACCCTGAGCCCAGTGTGTCTTGAGCCTGTGGGTAGCCCGGCAGGGAGGACAAAAAAATCGTGAGAAAATTTCCAGCGCCAAATATTCAAATGAGGTAACAAATGCCGCCATTGCATACTTTTTTGGGTGATTTTTTTTGTCCGCACCCAAAAACGCCGGCAAGAAAAAAATCATCAGGATGCATGCTCATCCTGCAGCCCTTATTGTCGGGCTCATCAGTTTTTTAACCCATTTTTTTCGGATTCCCTAATTTTTTATGCTTGACTACCGAAAAAAGTCGTTTATAATTGGACAGAGTTCTGCTTTTTTGCCGCGTTTTTTTCTTTCTTTCCTATTTTGAATATTGAAATCCCGTGTGACATGTTTTTTTCTTCGTATTTCATGAAAAGGATCGTCAACTGAAGTCTTGTTACTGTAGTTTTTTATCCTTTTTTTTGGGTACTTTTTTCAAGCTGATTTTTTCTCTGTGATAGGCGGTGCGAAAATGTTAATTAAATTTTTGTTATTGCGCCATTTCAGGGAGAAATCCAGTTCTCCATTTTCATTCTTTCAATTACGCAGTTAATTTTCATTTTTTGTCTTTTGAATAAAATTGTTTCTACGATTCTTAACACGTGTTGGTTGTCGAGGATTTTAATTGTAAATTGTAACTGAATGGAGAAAGCAAAAAATGTTGGGTTTTGTTGAGTATTGTAAACATTGTTAAGTGTTGATAAGCCTTTTTGATAAAATTATACCCTGGGAACAAAACTTTTTCATTTAGTTAAAAAAAAAAAAATCCTGTTGTGGATGGTTTTTAAAAAAAAACATGTAATAGCAAAAAAATGTAATCAAATTAATTAGTTTATTTTTCAGTTAGAGATCGAATTAAAAAAAAATTTGGTATAAGGGATTAGGGAATTACAATCCGTGGAAATGTAAAACCCTTATCCAACATCTGCTATTCTATAATAAGAGGCTTCGTAGTTTGTGGAGCGTCAGTTAAACTAGTTTTCTGTAAGTAGGGCATAGGAATAGACATCAGAAATTTCCCCTAAATTCATAGATCAACATCAGACATCTGATATTAGTATTAAACCAATGCAAATGTTATTAAACTCTTAAGTCGTCTTTCATGTCTTCAAACATTTGCACACAATTTACAATCAAACGTTCAATTAAAGAGCCTCAAACCTTTTTTGCCAATATGCCAATACTCGCTTAAGTATCAATTACATAACAATCGAAATGATAAAGGGAAATCAATCCAAACACGGGCCCAGAAACCTCAACAATACCTCAACAGAGTGTGCCCTCCAGATCCAGTGTGCGAATATAATACCAAACCAGCCAAAGGGTGCAAATATGGATATAAGAATAGCTAACGAAAATCGCATCAAATTTCACAATATCGCACCTTATTAGAATCGAACAATACCGCGGAGCACAAAGCGATATTTGGCGAGGAGCTGGAGAAAGAGGCAAAATGCAAATGCCACAGGAACAAGAAGCTATGGGAAAAACATACACACCTTCCACTCCACTTCGATCTTTAGTTCTCGAGCCCCGTGCTAATCGGTGGAGTGTATCCGCATATTGTGTGCATTGTCTAATAATTTCATAAATAGTTTATCCAAAAGAATTGCTGAATGCCGAACCGACTAAATGCCATTCGCGAACGGGTTAGGATAGAGAAAGGATCCCTTTCTTATGCAAAGAAGAGGACCTTCTCTGGGGTGAAAGGTTTTTTTCTCTTAGAGATCCGGATGTTTTGTGTGCAACCCCTGATGGTCGGATCCTATCTCTATCTCTCCCTCCCTAACCGAACTGCCTGGGTGTGTGTTTTGATTTCGGGTCTGGAGTTTAGAAACCATAAATCTATTGATGGCTTTGATGACGCCTTTCTGCAGCACCGAAATGATCTCTTGGCATTGAAAAATCATAGACAATATTCAAATGAAAGTCGTTTGCATAATGCCCTTCCCAATAGTGAAAAATGGACTGCGTTGCACTGGAGAAAAGCGAAAGAATGATATAATACCAAACAATGCAAATACTTTGTGTTTGGAATTAAAACCTTAAGTTTTGGATAGTTATGTATTTTTGAATAAATATTAAGCTAAAATCACTTGTTTAATATAAATAGCGGTAAGATTTATAATGATTAACACTATAGATTTTGAATAGATGTTTTTTGAATAATATGATATTAAAACCTATCC